CTGAGAGGTCTGTCTTTGGAGATGCAGTAGAGAATGGGAGATTTAGCAAGCAAACGTTTTCTGTCCTGTTCTATTACACTGGACACCTCCTTGGGATTAAGCCCTCAGGTTCTGGTTGAGGATCCTTTATTAACTTGCTATGTAAACTTGATGGAGTCATTTAGCTTTTGCAGACCTCAGCTTACTGTCTACAAATTGGAGACAATAATACCTGTCCATTAATACCCAAAAGTGATGCCACAGCAGCCTGGGAAGGTGTAATAAAGGAGCTCAGGAGAATGGGCAGGCTGTAAATGACACATTCACGATGGCACAGTCCTTCATTCTCCAGCCCTTGTCTTGCCTGTTTTCATCACAGTGATGAAGAATGCAGACACCAGGGTTACACTGCTGGAGTCTATCTTGGCTGGGCCTCTTCCTGGAAACGTGGGCTTGGTGGCCCTCAGTTTGCCAGTCTAAATAGAGTAGCTGAGAGGGGCAATCTAAGTTTCTTCATGGTTGAAGCCATAGCATGAGAAGTGATTTTCCCAGTGCACGGTGTGCGATGTTCTCCATATGGCTTTGTCTTTCTTGGGGTTCCTGTTACCCTCAGGACAGACCCCCTGTCCTGCAGTGGATGGTGACACCGGCTGGATGGATGGTTTTGGTGTCTCTCAGGCACCACTTGGAAGGACTTTTACCATCTCTGAATGTCCAAGACAATGGAGAGCAGAAAACATCCATTTAGAGCTCTCAAGAAACAAGCAAGACGTGGCAAAGAAAGTTTGTCAGTTTGAAGACCCCAAATACTTTCTTTTATTTGGAAGTGCATAATAGTTCATCATAAATGTTTCATAATTGCCTCATGAATTATTCACCTGCAACTTAATAACCTTAAATTTTACAGGATAATGTTTTTATGGAAGAAAAACATTACCAACCTGGGACCCAGCTGTGAAGAGAAAGTGCTGACATTATCAATTTATTTTCCCTATGCAGTAGAAGATTTTTTTGTAACTATGAAATATGGAATATTAATAAAAGAGCAAATAAAAAACTAAAACAGGAGGGTAAAAATCCTTACGTGGCTCTTTCTAAAACATTTAATCTCAAAGCTGTGCTTGCAATATTTTTCCCTAATGCCAAGAAGCTGATCCAGCTCTGTTATAGTTGGTGTCACTTTCTTTGGTGAAACCAAAGAAAAATTATTTGTTTTCCTTCTTAATCTATCTGGCCATTGTCTTTCCTGTCATTACCATTACTCAACTTTTTAAGTCTGTATCCATTAGTGAGTTTTAAGTTAGTATCATTCTCTCACCAACCTAGAAGGTTGGGTAGTCAGAGTGCTAGTTTAGGAACTCGCTTGGCAGTGTCTAAGGAGTATTTTGAGGGAGCAGAAGAAGCAGTGTGATTGGGAGATCAGCGTGAGCCTAGGCTATCCAGGCTGATGCATACAGTTAGCATTTCAACTAGGTTTTCTCAGCCTTGGTTTGTGCATAATGAGTGAAACAGCCTTTGTAAGAACAAGGCTTTCTATAAATGTAGGAAACTGTCTTGGCAATGCAGGTAAAGAGTGACTGTGGTGTTAATAAAGCTGAGCCCGTGGAAGGATCAGCAGGAAGTCTCGCAGAGGCAGCTGGGTCATTTCAGAGAGCTGGCAAAGAAATCAAGTCTTGGATTTGAGTTTTCTCTAGGAGCGCAAAAGAAAAAAGCAAGACCATCCTGTCCTCTTAAAAATCGGAAAAATCGGTAATGCTGGGGCTGGGGATTTAGCTCAGCGGCATAAAAGCGCCTGCCTTGCAAGCAGGCAGTCGTGAGTTCGATCCCTGGTACCAATAAAAACGAAAAAGACAAAAAAAAAAAAAATCGGTAATGCCTAGGGACAAAGTATTAATTCTCTTTTATTGAAATCTTTGGGGTTTATGTACTTTTAGAATTAAGAATAGTAAAAATATAATGGAGACAGTGAAAAGTCTCTTCCAACTTCCCCTTTTTACAGGTGAAAATACTGAGACCTAGAGAGGAGAGACTGGACCAAGATTCTATTAGTTGGTTGGTGACAGAGACGCAAATCAGAAGCCCCTGGAAAAGAGGGTAGAGAGTCACTAATGAAATGGAGTGCGAGCAGTTACTGGGAGTGTTGGTGGCTGGAGGAGAAAAGCTAAGAAATGTGGGTTTGCTGTAGGCAGAGAGGCCCTGAAAGCCACGCTTAGGAATGAGTGGGCGTTCTTTGTGGACTGGTGAGACCTAGTCTACCCAGTCGAGACAGAAGCAGTGCATCCCAGAGGCTGCATGCCCTCTCCTCGCTCCAGTTCGCACTGACTTCTAGTAACCTTTTATTAAAATGACCTGGCTCCTGATTAATTCTCCTGGCTGCCTGCATTCTTATTGCAGTTCTGGCCAGCAGGTCAGGAGGGTGAGTTCTTTAACAAATCGAGTGAATAGCTGCACTCAAGATATTTGGTCTAAGTGGCACGCTGTCCTCTGCCTAATGAAGCTTTGGGGACTTCTGTCTTGCCTTCTGTGATGGATGATGGCATGTGACACCTGCTATCATCTGAGCAATATCAACAACTTAGCCTCTGGGGCACTCTCGGTAACAAAGACCATTCATTAGGCACTAGAGGCTCTGTCTGTCAAGGCAGACACTTTTGCTGAGTCCTGCTGTATGCTGAGAATTTTTCTCTGTATCTCTTCTTGGGTTCCTAGGACACCCTGTATATTCTTATAACACACAGCTGTAAAATCTCTTTCTTCAAAACCACCAGGAGCTCTCTCTCAGCCTGGTGGGCATGTCACAGCAAGTTCTTAACCAAAGAGGTCCAGCTGATAAACGCTGGGCAGGAAACAGGTTCTCTCTGCTAGTGCTCACCAATTCTTTGTCCCATTTTACAGGTGACCACGGCGAGGCTTAAGGACTTGCCCGAGGTCTTGCATGCAATATATATCTGTGTACCCTGAAGGAGGGCATGCTCTTTCTACTGGTGACACACCTTGCCCACTTCTAGGAACAGCGTCATGTCTCTGGGGCCCTGCTTCATTTCAGACAGAATCCAGTGAAGGAATTCATGGCAGGCAAGATGACAGGGTTATAAAACAAGGTTGTGCTATCCTGGAATTACTAGAAGTGGCTTTAGACACAGGAAGAGTGAATGTGATGGTTTGTAAACTGGAGTCTGAGGAATTGCAGACTCTGGTCTACAAGGAACCATAATGCCAGGCCGTCCCTGGACAGTATGCAGCTTTCCTCCAGCCCGGTTAATGTGTACTCCTGATTATCTTGATTCTTAGTGCTTTGGGGGTTGCTCCAGAATGACTTATGTTAGTAAAAGAGGGGTTAGGGGTAAGGAAAAGGGAGAAGCCCAAGAAGCCCTGTCAGGGGGATAAGATCAGAGAAAACAGGGCAGAAATAGGGAAAGACACAGCAAGAAGCAAAACCTCTGGGAGCCCAAGCAAGGAGGAACACACTGAACACAAGCAGGGGATTTCAGCCTGGCAAACATGTCCCAGCGTGGCCAAGGGGGCATTTTAGGGTGTGAAGTTGCTCCCTAAAGGAGTATTTTTATATGCATTTTTCTGTTTCACTGGAAAGAGGGTTTATTTTTTCAAAGCAACCAGTAACATTTCAAAGAGATTAAATAAAAGCAAGGTAAAGAGTCCTAGAATCAGAGTCCTACAGTGGGGAAGGGCAAGGAGTTTCCCAAAACCAGGTTCAAAAAGCAGTTCACATCATAAACATATGCCAGTTATGTGTGCATGAGAAGTAGATGGATGAGTAGGCTGTACTAGTTAACATTTACTGAGTATATATCATACTTATAATGCTGAGCAGAATATTCATTTAAGCCCCTTCTAAGACTGTTTTTGATATTATTTTATTAAATCTTCAGGGCAGTATTTTGGAGGAAACCTTACTGGTTTCTCCATGTTACACTTGGGGGTCCTGAGGGATACAGAGACCAGGCAAATGGCTCTAACCACATTATTAGCCAGTGCCACAGCGTTGGCCAGAGCTGAGTGATACAACATCAGAATCCATCATCCCCATGACATCTTCTCTCGTTTTTCAGAGAAACGAGAGGCCATCAAGGAAGGCTGGGACTCTGTGAAGGTAGCTCTCCCCGTGGCCTTTGGTTGGTGGACTGTCAGGCACAAATCTCAGTGGACAGTGGCAGGGACTATTGGTGATCTCAGAGAGCCACCCAGGAAGGTCAGATCCTCAATGGTGGCTTTAGAAAGGTCCTTGAGATTGCAGGGGCTGGGAGAACCTTCTGACCTGGGAGCAGCTTGGAGGATCCTTCTCTGGGAAGGGTTTACAGCACCGAACTGCTGGTGAGACTGCAAAAGCTGAGGCTTCATCTCTGACATTTTCCTAAAAGAATTTCAAGGGCTGCCCCTTCCCACCTGCAAGGAGACAGGCCACAGCGCAGAGGGGAGGAAAGATTGTGGGCTTTGGGGTCACCGGGCCGGAGCTCGCAGCTAAGTTTGCCCTCAGCTCCTCCTCCCCCTACCTTCCCTTCTTGGTCAGGTTTCCTGGGGAGAGTACCAGATAGTTCTGAGGGCTGTTAAATGAAGCTAGGAATATAAACTGGTACTTTGCATGTCACAAGCATAAGTGTCTGAGGCCTCCAAAGTCAGGGACCAAGATCCCTTCACCCTTTTTCTCTTCCCAGCAGAAAACCTATTTTTCTTCAGTTCCTCTCCAGAAGCTACTGTGTCCCCTCCTGAGCCAGTCACTGCAGAGGGGCTGTGACTTGCTTTGCCTTTCTCATAGTCTGAGGTCCACTGTCTGATAGTGTAAACTGCTCTCTGCATTTCTCCTGATCTTCCTGCCAGTTGATATTTTTTCTAATTCTAGTTTGCTTCTGGTATCCCGCCTCCAGCAGACACTGTAAGTTCCTGGAGCTATAGTTGCATAAAGTTGGAGCTATAGTTGTAACATTCCTACATTCACACACACACTTCCATACTCACTCTACAAACAGGGAAAGAATTCCAAATATCAGAGGAGGAAAGAGAGCTTGGGGTTTCTTCACTTTATTTGGGCTTCCGTGAGGCAGGTCCTCTGAGGTTCCTCTCCCATTTAAATGTCACTTTTACCTGTGTTCCGCTTCTTTGACTCCTAACCTCCTAACCAGCACGTCCAGCAGTTAGGGTAATGATTATATTTTGACCCAACTGAAAAAAAAAAAAAAAAAAAGGAAATAATAAAAATTGCTTAGTTTTTTTCCGTGTGTGACATTTTGATAGACGGTCTCACCACCTAACCCACTGGACAGGCTAAGGGGAACATCTTGGAGGCCCTCCCTGGTTTGCCTCCCTTCCTGTCTCCCCTCCCCCTTCCTCTCCCCTCTCCTTTTTGGCCTTTCTGCGTATCTGTGTCATCAGTGTTCTCTAGCAGTACTGAGCGTTGGTAAGACCTAAAGGGCTCTCCACTCACCAGGCAAGGCGGACACACTTCCAGGCAGAGGCCTCCGGATCTCCTGGGATTTTGCAAACCAGGCCACTCACCCTGCTCCCCGCCTCAAACCCTTGGCTCTCCAGTCACTGGAGTCATTTAAAGCTCGCTTTCTTTTCCTCTAGCCTCGGACTCAGAAACTGAGGCTCACAGGCTTGGAGAAAATGAAACCAATGCACAGGGCCGGCCGCGGGCTGGATGTGGAGGAGGACCGGAAGCCTTTTAAATACCAATGCAGTTTGCAGAACCTGACAGGTAGGCCAGGCCTGAGTTCTGTGGCTCACCAGCGGCCCCTCGTGGCCAGTAGCTCCAACTGCCTTGAGCTGTGGGCTGGAATTTAGCCGCTGATTCGCCCAGTCTGTACATTTTGCAGTATTGGCTTAGAAACAGAACGATAGTCTAAAACCCTAGACAAAGACAGAATTACATGCAGTGGAGGGCAGGCTGTCACTAAGTTCGCTTGGTATGTCTCAGATGATAAACCTCTGAGGCGGGCAGTGCAGCCTAACTGTTAAGTAAACTGAGGTTCAGAACGTTAAGCACATTGGCGATAGCCTGGCCAGCCAGAAAAGGGCACTGAGGTTCATGTGGGCCCAGGTCTGACCTCTACCAGGTCCCAAGGCAGCAGGGCTGCATTCGTTGGTGTGGTTGGGGTCTGCTCCTGGGACATCCTACAGAGAAGTTTAAGAATTCGCTCTGTGCTGGGCTGCAGCTGACTTTGAGGCCAGTATTCTGTGCATTCTCCACGGCTCCCACCTTTCCACCTACAAGCGAGAATTCAGCCTCCTGGAGCTCCAAACTGCCAGAGGTTACACAGCTTGTGTGGGTGATCTGGGAATAGGGACCTAAGGTGTTCCAAAGCCATGGCTTTCCCTGTACCTCCTTCGCTGCAGGTGTGACCTCTGTGACACAGGTGTCAGTGGTCGGTCACCCTTCGTGCTCACTCACCTGGAACACACCTTTGGTCTTGGCTGACCTGGCCTTGCACTGAAGTCAGTTTTGGCGAAGAGGTCAGAGACTTTGGAATTTTTTGCCCAATGCAAGGCTTTGTAGTTGGGAGAAATTTGACTCTTTTTATGCTCTCAGAAAGCAAGTGACACCCACAAGCAGGGTGGTAGTAGAGAACTGCTTTGAGAGCGTCACTGGACCCAGTTGTTTCCCAGAGTTTTGGGGGGTCAGGGAGGGAGGTGTCTGGAGACAGTGCAGTATACTGCTTACGCGGCAAGCTTTCAGGTCAGGTGCCTGGGACCCTAAACCACTTGAGGCTCACTGTTTTGGACCACATTATGGCCCTCAAAGGGCAAAGATAGAATTAAATATGCTTTTATGTAGCAGTTACCATAAGGTAAGTCCTGCTGCTGTGTTTTGTGAGCGGAGGAACCACAGCAACTTGACGCTCTCCATTAGGAGAGTGGACAGTAGCAGCAGTGACCATTTCAGGTGTGAGCAATGACGTTGGTTTGTGATTCCCTTGCAACACAGAGCAGCTGACTTAGGTGTGGAAGCAACAACATCACGGTAGTGGAAGAGGCCCAAAGCAAAGACATCTCCCTCAGGAATGAATCAGGTAGGGGATACAGTGTTAATAAAGCCTTTATTGGGATCTGTGCTGCCCAGGTTTCTTGCCAGGAGTGTAATGAATCTCGGGAGCAACAGGAAGCACAGCCACAAAGGAATTAATTTGCCACCAAAGGAATAGCCATGGCTTAATGGCTTTATTGAATCCTTGGTTTTTAGCCCATTGATTCTCGTTTATTTTAATTCAGGGCTGTGCTTGAGCTTTGCTATTACTTTGCCTCGTGCTATTGATCAGGCGGTGTCCCTCCTCCTGTGGCCTGGACGTGCTCTTTACCTGTGTCACCAGGCCTTTCCAGCCCACTGTGCTCTGCCTTCGTGACCCCGTCCTCATGGCGGGCTGGGCCCCTGTGCTTCTGGGCCCGGCAAACCCTTTGAATGCTTGGCTGATTGGAAATAGTATCACGCAGTAGAGGGAAGAGGCCACCTCCCCACAGCACTCTGTGTGGTTGTTTTAATCAAACTTTTTCATTTAGGATTTATTTTCTTAAAATAACCTTTGGAAATCAATGTCAGTTCTTAGGTTTTTCTGGATAATTGTTCCTACAGAGGTTAACATGGTGGGACTCTTGTTTTTCAACCACCAGAATCACCTGGAGGTTTCTGTGAAAAACTTTCCCAGGCCCAAATATTCTGACTCAGGACCTTGTCACCCCCTGCATCCCTTTTGAGGTAAATGTCAGGTGGCATACAATTCACCATCCTAAAATGAACAATTCAGGAACAGTCAGCAAGTTTGCATTGCTGTGAATCCCTCATCTCTGCCTGCTTCCAAAACATTTCTATCATTTCCACAAAAGGGCCTGCATCCAAGGAGCATTCTCCCCTTGTATCTCCCTTGGCTTTTGACAATTACTAATCTGCTTTTTTGTCTTTGTGTCAACTCTGTAAATTACATACAGATGGAATCATAGAGTACTTATCCTTTGCTTTGAGCTTATTTTTTATCTTAAGGGAATAAAACAAAACAATAAAACAAAACAGAACAAAACAATAAGAGTGATATTGAACTTCAAAAGTAAGCCAGTAGGAAATCTCCAGTAGTTACTATATTGCAGATTGTTATCCTCTAAATAGATGCTCACACTATTGGCGTTAGGTCCACAAACTCAATCAAACAATACAAGCATTACATTGTTTCTTTACTTCAGTTGCTGTCATCTCAGCCTGTGTTCCTCCAAATCAGTGGGTTGCTCACAGGGTTGTGGGAATTTTCTCTTTCTGCCAGTGTGGGCTGAGTCACAGGGAGGGCACTGCTTCCTGGTTCTCTCCTGGACAGCTCAGCCACTGCTGGCATACGGGAGGGTGCTGCTGCTTCCACATTTGGCTTATTTTACTTAGCATAATGTTTCAAGGCTTCTTCAGTCCTCCATTCCTTTTCATGGCTGAATAATATTTTATTTTTGTTTGTTTATTAATTTATTTATTTATTGGTGGTACTGGGGCTTGAACTCAGGGTCTCATGCATGCTAGGCAAGCACTCTCTCACTGAGCTACATCCCCAGCCCTAATGTTTTATTTTTTATAAACATTGTATTTTGTTTGAATACCTAAGGACCTTGCTTGTGTCTGCAGTCCAGTTAAGCTTTGATTCATCAGCAGTGGAGATGCATTCTGTCTGTGGAATGTGATTGGCCTGTGGAAGGGGACCTAGTAGTGAATGAACAAGGGGTGTCCTGCCGGGGAGGATTTGGATCGTGTGGTGACAGAGACAGAGATGCCCACCCGGTGAAATGCGGGTAAGAGAGATTGATACTTGATTCCCACTCCTACTGACTGACTATGGGGAGTTGGACCCTGATCTTCTCATTCTTCATTCATAAAAGAGGAGGAACAGCGGTGTTGGGTTCAGAGCATTGCTGTGTGGATTAAGTGGAACAGTTTGCATTAAGTGCTTGGTAAAGGGCACGGCACAGAAGGAATAAAGTGAAGCCCAACATGGCCACGCTTTGTATTACTTTCCCAAAGAGGGGCATTGTGCAGCTGGAGTCTGGCGCAGCTGGTGAGTAACTTGTACAGATGGAGAGAACATTCTTGGCAGGACTGGACACTCTTGCGCGATCCTGCAGTGGCTCCAAGAGAAGTCATGCAGCAGAACATAAGGACACTTAGTTTCCAACAAAGACTACTGAGGTCCAGCAGTTCAGACAGGCCTTGCCTTAGAGTGGGACACGTCAGGATGGGAGTGGTCACAGGGTTATACTGATGAGTCCTGCTGTTGCTTGTCTGATTCTCCAGCAGGCTGTGATTGCAGCAAGGGCGGGGATTACATGCGTCTGTTTCACTGCTGTGCTCCTAATGCTTGGTGTGGAGTGGGCATTCATTAAGTATCTCCCGCATGGATGGACTCTCTCTTTCCTGTCTGTGGTCTTTGAACTCCTTCAGATCTTCTAGGTCAGCCTCCTGTACTGGTGGAAGAATACACTATGCCCAAGGTGTGTTTCTATGTGACTGTTTGGAAGTCTACTTCAAATGTCTTTTAAAAAATGTGCACGTCTTTGGATTCACAAGTTCCACTTCTAAATATTTAACCTGAGGACGTTGCTGTAGGCTCAGAGTGATGATGGATCAAGAACACTGACGTGGTATTATTTAGAATAGCAAAAGAAGTGGAAATAATCCTTTTTCCAACCAAAAGGGAGCTGCTAGGATATTATGGTATTCCCTTTCAATAGCATGTTTTAAGGCCATAAAAATAATGAAGACTTTTTAATAACATGAGGAAATGTCCATGTTATGTAGTTAATGGGGGGAAAGCAAGTTGTATAATAGTAATTTTTATAAACTATAACAACAACTACTGCTGTGTGTGTGTATGTGTGTGTGTATTTGTGATACTGGGAGGATTTATGTTATCTTTTGCTGTGAGTGATTAAATTGCAGATAGCTTTATTTTCAAGCTTTTTGAGGTTTTCCTATAATTTTTGGTGGTGTTACACTGGATGATAATCAGATAAAACAGTGGTAAATATTTTTGAGGATTATCCCTGCTAAGAATATAAGTGTTAGACATGCAGGTTGGCTCTGGACTATTTGGGGTCCTGAACATTTTCAGAAATGGGGCTTAGAAAGCTGTGGAAGGGTCTGGGGCATCAGGCAGGGCTCTCCAGCATCCCAGGAGTAGGACGAGCTATTCTTGTTTTACTAGACAGTGGATACTGTCTGTCCCTGTCCTGTCTTGTGTTCTGTCCAGTCCTCCATGCTGGCCTTGTGCACATCCCAGACTTCAGAAGCTCTGGTGTAACTGGAGATTGGATTCATGTTACCGCCTTCTGCCTACTGAGATAATCAGTCACAGACTTGTTGCAGGAAGATAAATTTAAATCTTGCATGGGATGAATTGACCATGCAAATTAATTCTGTTCCATGTTCCAGGAAATTAAAAGAAGAAAGTCTAGGCTGAGAAGGCACAAATGGAATAAGCCTTGCTGGTTAAAGGGAAACCAGACGACCCTTCTCAGGCACTGACTTTGTTGTGCTTTCAGCTCGCCGATTACAGGTATTGCTGGGCCGTGCCTGGGGCTTTGTTCTTGGTCCAGGCGGGTCTATGTGGTTCATCTAATTTGAGGGTAGGTTCTTCAAGAGCAGTGGTGAACCCTTTGGTGTTTTCAATGATGCAAACAGCTCCCCATGGCAC